ACCCCACACCCCCACCTTGAGCAGATACTCGTAGAAGGAGTCCACCCCGGCGCCCACCCCCGCGTCCGTGCGCACCCACGCCCCGCTGTCGCAGTCCAGCGTGTTGCCCACCAGGCCGCGCGGGCTGCGCATAGCAAAGATGGTCTCCACCGCGTGCCGCGCCTTGGCCTCGTACGTGGCGTTGCCGGTGAGGCGGGACAGCACCCCAAACTCCAGCAGCAGCGTGCCGGCGCAGGCGGTACAGGTGGAGCGCACGTCCCCGGGGATCTGGCCCTGCAGGCGGCGGCGGCGGCGGCAAAGGCGGCGGCGGGGACGGTGAGCGGCAGCAGCGTGCAGGGGCGGCGGGACCCAAACCTCTGCCGCCGTTGCTGGCTCGCCGGCGCGGCATCCGGGAGCAGAGCAGGGCGAGGCGGGGCGAGAGCAGGCCAGGCGGCAGGCAGCAGCGGGGCGCACGTGGCGCAGGTTGACCCAGGACAGCGGCACGCCGGTGGGGGTCTCGAAGGCAGGCATGAAGCGGTCAGTGAGGTCCACCGCCAGCCGCAGCAGGCTGCCGTCGTAGCCAGGCACCAGCGTCGGGTCCTGTGCAGGGGCAGGCAGGCGCTGGGCAGGGCAGTAAGGCAAGGAGAGGCATGCGTTGCTGCAGAGCGGGCTTGCAGAAGGCACCGGAGCTAGCGCTGCTACTGGTGTGCCGCACCCAGCTCTGCACCTGCTGGCTGCAGCCGTGCTGCCGCCCGTGCGCCGCCGCGCCCGAGCCGGGCCGCAGCAGGCAACCAGGGGCGCACCTGCTCGATCAGCATGTGTGCCGACAGCAGGCCGCCCACGGCGCGAATGGTCAGCTCAAACACATGCACCCGGGCATCCACATCGAATGTAACGTTGGCCGCCAACCACCGCACCGCGTCCTGCAGCCGCTGCTGCTCGCCCATCACCTGCAGACGTGAGCAGGCCAGGGCCAGCCCGGCTGGCCGGCAGTGGGATGCGACCTTGCTGCAACTGCAACACACATCCAGGCAGGCTCCAGCAGCAGCAGGCAAGCAGCGGTGCAGCGCCGCCACTGGTAGGTAGCTGGCAGCGCCTCACGATGAGCGTGTCCAGGCTGTCGATGAGCGTCAGCGCGATGCCGCCCTGCGAATCCTTGCCGCGGCAGCTGATGGGGCGCAGGTCGTCCTTGGGGAAGGCCAGGCGCATGTACTCGCCATACCCAAACCGAAACATGCCCAGCGACTCCTCCCTGCACCCAGCACGCACCCAAGGCCAGGCCAGGTGGGTGCACGCGGTACCGCCGCCAGCGACCGGGCTCACATGCGGCAGAGGCTATCAGTCGGTGCTGCGCCATGCAACCACTCAAAGCTGCATGTAACTTCGCAGGCTGGGGGAGCGGCCAGCAGCACGCACCGGAGTTGCGTCAGGTTGACGACGGCGGGCGGCTCCAGCGCCGCCGCCACCTGCCATGCCGGCCGGGCCCTGCCGCCGCCGTCGTGCACCAAGCACCCCACCAGCGCCAGCAACAGTGCCAGCTACAGCAGGCAGGCAGCAGGTGTAAGGCACTGGCAGGGAGCAGTGCCCCAGAAACAAGGCGGCCTGGCAGCGGCAGCAGAGGCAGCGGCGGCGCGCGCAGCACGCACCAGGAGGCGGGCCATGGCGGCCCCCTCTCCCTCCTGCGGCTGATACAGGGTGTGTCAACGCCCAGGGGAGCCAGGTCGCAGCATTAGGGGGCGAACTACCGAGTGTCCCGCTGCCAGCGCTCCCACAGCGGTGTCGGCCTGGGCTGAAGCTGGTTAGCACCACGCCTGATCGGCAGTCACTGGCCTGGCCACCAGGCGCGCCTGTGAGTGGTCACCAGTGTACTGAGCGGGGTACAGGTGCCTCCAGAGCGCTCTGCACTGCACCGATCACACGTTGTCCGCTGCAGCGATGGTGAACCTCCGCCCGCTTCTGCTGCTGACGGCCCTGCTGCTGGCCCAGAGATGCTCGGCTGCTGATCGGCAGGGCATGCCCGTGCAGGGCAAGGTGGCCGTGCCAGGTGAGGGGGAGGTGGTTGGCGAAGCTATCAGCCACGCCTGGGAACAGCCACAGGCGGCTTGGCTGTGCGGGCGGTCGCCGACTGTCCGCCCCGCCCACCAACCTCGATCCTCGACCCAACCCTGCCGCAGATGGCGTGTCTCTAGCGCAGGCGGAGGTGTCCTTGCAACTGGAAGGCGGGCGGCGGCTGCTGGCCTTCCCGCTGCAGGACGGCAGCTTCTCCTTCCCCGAGGTGCCGGTCGGAGTGCACACGCTCAGCATCCACTTCAGCATGCAGCAGCAGAGCCTGCTCTTCCCCACAGTCAAGCTGGACGTGGGGGCCTCCCAGCAGGGCAAGGTGGAGGCCATGGCCGCAGACGTCCCAGGGGTGAGCGTCACAGCATCTGCGGACTGTGTGCGTGATGTTCAACATGTGTCTGGTTAATGCGTGCTGCCCCTGCTGGGCCCACCCGTCCGGCTGATTTCCTTCCTTCGGGCGGGGCAGTTGGACATACTGCTGGGCCCTGCACGAGCCAACCCCCCTTGTGTGTGCACATCGCACCTCTGCAGACCCCTGTCATCTCCTACCCACTGCTGCTGCGCCCCTTCTCTCGAATGGAATACTTTGAGGTGGGCGGCTGCTCCTGTTCTTGATGTTTTCTTGAATGGAATGCAGCCGCAGCCCTGGAATGTGGACATGCTGGCCCTGTGGACATGCTAACACCACCTGCTCAGCATGCTGCGCGTGGCACCACCGCCGGGCATCCACTCCCTGCATGCGGCACTGGAAGTTGTGTCGCTGCGTTTGGGCGGCTGTGCACGTCCCCACCCCTCCAGTCTGGCCTGCCCCGTGGCTGCTCTCATGCTCCCATCCGCAGAAGCGGCAGCCCTTCAACCCCATCGCCTTCTTGAAGACGCCCTACGGCATGATGGGCGCCTTCATGCTGTTTTCCATCTTCATCATGCCCAAGCTCAAGGTGGACCCAGAGGAGTACAAGGTGGGCGCAGGGGCAGGTTGTGAATGGGGCAAGGTGTGGTGACGCAGCAAAACAAGTGGCTAGGCTGCTGGTGGGGCTGCCAATCTCTCTGCTGCAGCCCTGCGCTCCCTGCCAGCTCCTGCACCTGCGTCATTGCTATCGTATCGTGCTTGATGCATGCTGCCTGCTGGCCCCGCTGCCCGCAGGAGATGATGGGGGAGCGCGACCGCGGCGCCGCCACGCCCGCCACCATTGCCGCCGCGGCGCAGCGCGAGCAGGGCCGGAGGCGTAACGACTGAGCTGCCTTGTATGTGTTGCACGCTTATGTAAACTTCCTTGTGTCACAGAGGTTCATACATGTATGCGGGCGATGCTGCGAAAGCTGAACATGCGCCCAGCTGGCGGCGGCTGCTTTGGCCTGCAGCATGCGCCGTGATGTCACAGCGGTCCGCTCCGCTAAATTGTGCACCAGTCGCACGATCGCTGTCAATCTATCTACAAAGGCACAAAAAGAGGCAGCGCCTATGCCGCTCCACCTCGCTGCGGGCCAGCCCCGCACGCTGGCCTACTCTGAGGCAATCCGCAAGGACATCAAGCTGCTGGAGGTGGACGAGGGCCTGCTGGATGAGCTGCTGCAGACGGGGTGAGGCCCGGGGTTCAAGTTCCCGCAGTCAGCCAGCGAAAGCCTGTGGGCCAGACGCCTGGCTCGTTTGACGATCAGCGCCCCCTGATGCGCTCATTAGCGTCTCAGCCGCCATCACCAGGGGCTGCGCCCGCCGCCGCCGCCGCCGCCTGCAGGCTGCACCTGAAGGGTGCACCCGGCGAGGAGGCGGTGCTGTGCTCCGGCAGCAAGACGTTTGCGGTGAAGACCGTGGAGACCACCAACCTGCTGCTGCTGGTGCCAGAGGAGCAGACGGCGGCGGTGGAGGCGGCGGTGGAGGCGCTGGGCTGCCAGGACGTGACTGTGCCGCAGCCGACGCCGCCGGGCGTGCTGCTCGGGCTGGGCACGCAGATCCAAAAGGTGCGCAGCCCATGGGCCTGCCTGCTCATGGTTCCAGAGCTGGGCTGTCCTGAGCATCGATGCTGATGGGCGCATGCAATCACCAGCTGCCCTTGACACCAGGACAGAGCAGTCGACTCGTGTTCTGAGCCACGCGCTTGCTCCCCAACCCCGCCGCTCCACCGCCGCAGAACCAGGCGGCGGCCCAGCAGGCGCCCGTGGTGGCCTCGGCGCTGGTCAGCAGCCACCTGGAACTGGTGCCTGCTGCGCCTCGCCTGCACCGGCTGGACGCGCTGCTTGGGGTGCGGGAGGGGGGCGTGTGTGTGTGTGTGCATGGACGCAGTGGCATTTGCGCCTGGCTTGGTACATTTGTCCAGCTAGCGGCCCACTCCCTGCACTTTCACGGAGGTGCTCGCAACCCCAACCCAAACCAAAGCTGCTGCTGGCCGCTGCTTGCCCTCAGGAGTACCAGTATGGCGCTGAAGGGGGCGAGGAGGAGGCAGGGGCGGCCATGGCGGCCGATGGCGCGCCCAGCCCCAGCGGGCGCGCCATCGGCGGCAGCTTCAGGGGAGGGTACACCGAAGGGGAGCTGCTGGAGCGGGTGCAGTGCAGCGCGGCAGAGCTGCGGGCGGGGCTGGTGGACCACCGCGCGCTGTGCCTGGGTGCGCGGCCCTGCCGGTGGCGCTGCTGCTTTCCCGGCCAGCGGGCAGGGCTGGGGCCGTTTCCGAAACTGAGTCAGCAACAACACAAGAACTTGGCTGAGCGCCCGCATCGTCAGAAGGATTGCCTGGTATTTTTGCTGACGCGCCATGCCGCCCGCCGGCGTGCCTCCCGTGAGCAGATGGGCGCTACTGTGCGGTTGATGCGTCCTACCAGGGCATGCTGCTGGAGCTGGTGCTGCTGACGGCGGTTGAGCACGGCTGGGCGCTGGGCGCGCTGCCGGGCGCGCGGGTGGCGGCGGCGCTGCAACCGCAAGGCTACGACCCGAGGTGGGCTATGGTGGTGGTGGGAGAGTGGGGGTGCATTGCTCTCCGGTGAGCACAAGCTGGTTGGGCGGCCAACCTGGGGCGCAGCCTACTGGCTGCAACAGGGCTTCGAGTGTGTGAGCTGTGCCCTATGCCTACGGCGCATTGCCGCTGCAGGGTCACGCTGCACTGCCTGGCCACCTATGGCGCCCGTGTCGGCAGCGCCAGCGCGGCGCTGAATGCAGCAGAGTTTGAGGATGGGGCAGCAGCAGCCATGGAGGTGGAGGAGCAGGCGGGCGGCAGTGGCGCGGGCGCCAGGGCCAGCGGCGGCAACGGATGCTATGCTTTGGACGAGGCGGCCGTGTGCCTGCACTTTGCGCGCAGCCTTCTGCAGGCGCAGCCCGACTGGGAGCTGCACGATTTCGAGCGCGAGTGGCAGCAGCGCGTACCAGAGGTGGGTGGCGCGGCGGTTGGTGGCGGCGGCTAGCAGCCCTGCTGGCTTCCTTCAAGTGCATCAGGGCCAAGCAGCGCTGCAGACCTGCTTAGCATGCAGTGCGCTTGCTGCGCCCTGGTGCGCCTGCAGGGCATGCTGCCCAGCCTGGAGATGCTGCGGGGCGAGGCGCGGCGGTACGGCGGCGGCATCGGCGCCGCAGGCCTGCAGCACCCGCTGCGCATCAAGCACTTCCCGCTCAGCGGCCTGCCGCAAGACGCGCCCTCGCGCTTTGCCGCGCTCTTCGCGGAGCAGCCGCGGTGAGGCGTGTGCTGGGGCGCTGCTGGAGGCCGCCTGCTGCCAAACTGTCACCAGGGGGGTGCGTTCACGCAACTGCCGCTGGCGCCTGCGCCGCTGCAGGTGGGAGTGGGAGGAGCTGGCGCCGTATGTGCAGAGCCTGCGGGGCCCAGGCCAGACCGCAGAGGCGCTTCTGCTGAAGTATGCGCGGGCCAGCCAGCAGCGGCCCACCGACCCCGTCACCTACTCGGCGCGGTAGCGCGGCTGGGTGGGAGGAGCCTCGGCGTGCAAGGGCGGCGGGGTGGGGCGGCGCCATCACCGCCGCCGCTGCCTGGCACAGGACTGACGTTTCTGTTGGCTGATCCTTCGCAATGATGAGTAATGAATGGGGGCATTGCGAGCGAGAAAGGCCTAAAGCGGTCACCCCACCCATGGCCAAGGCGCCGCGTTGCTGCTGGGCGCTGCTCCCGGATTGCGGGGTATCCGTATGGAAACATTAGCCCAGCTGGGAGAAGAGGAAGAAGAGAACCGAGGCCATCGCCCGATGTGGGACCCCATAACAGGCAGCCACCGGGGCGTGCAGAGGCCTGGATGGGGACTCCGGGTGTTTGGCGTTTAAAGGCACGTACTCAAATTTCGCCTTTTACTAAATTTGACCGCGCGGTATTCCCCAGTGGATTACCACGTAAACGAAATAAAATCAATTTATCTTGGGCCTTTGGTCCTCTACATCTCACCCCCCAACCTCCCTCACCCACCCAAATCACCTGTCCTCACCCACCTACCCCCCCCCCCCCCCCCCCGGTGCCACCAGCTGGCTCTCGAACCAGCTGCCGGCGCCATGCAACGCTGAGGTCGCACGCCGGCGGCATCAACTGCCGCTGCGGCAGAGGCCTCTTTCGGCAGCTGGCGAAGCCACTGGAGGAGTAGGTCGCCCATCTAGCATCTCCATCTGCCGCTCCAGCACCTGATCTGCCAGCCACTGCTCTTCCTGCGGCTTCTCCCGCCACCGCCGCACCCGCTGCTGCACCCACTCTGGCTGGCTGCTCAGGGCCGCCTTGTCTTACACTTCTCTCTACCTCTTACAGAGAGAAGTCAGGGCCGCCTTGTCTACTACTGCATTGACTGATACAATATAGCATAGCATAGCACAGCATGCTCTCTCCAATCTTACTGGCTCTCACTACTAAGCAACCCCCCACGCACATGACCAAAACTCCCTCATTACCAAACCTCCTCCTCAATCCCTCCGGCCCTTCTAGCAATCTGTATGTACGCGCAGCAGCAGGCTAGCCATGTGTACACGTGAGCACTGCTTGGCAAGGCAGGTTGGGGGCCAGGTTGAGTGCAAGCCTGCATAGTGACTCTGGCTCACGACACCCACACTCACCCTCTCTCACAAAGTTTCTTTCTTTCTTTCTTTCTTTCTTTCTTTCTTTCTTTCTTTCTTTCTTTCTTTCTCTCACAAAGTGCTCAGCATGTCACACAAACTCACTCACAGCAAATGCACATGCTGAAAACGCAAAGTTCAGTCGCAGCACATCAAACATCTGCATGGCCCGCAGCACGGCGCCCCGCACCGCCTGCAGCAGCTGCTCGCTGCGCGCCGACGCCTCCCCCTCGACCTCCTGCCACGCCACCAACAGCCTGGCCGCGCGCCGCAGGGCCCTGCCCCTGCCCGGCGGTGTCACCAGCGGCTCTCGAATCAGCTGCCGCAGCGCCGGCGCCAGGCAGCGCTGAAGGTCGTAATAATTATAATAATAATAATAATACGCACCCGTGGCGGCCGGCAGCGTCAGCAGCGGCGCCTCGCGCGTCGCGCGCATGGCGGCATCAACCGCATCGGCGGCTGCTTGCAGGTGCTGGACGAGCAGGTCGCCCATCTCGAGCACCTGCATCTGCCGCTGCCGCACCTGATCCGCCAGCCACTCCTCCTCCTGCTGCTGCTCCTCCCGCCACCGCCGCACCCGCTGCTGCACCCACTCTGGCTGGCTGCTCAGGGCCGCGTCGTCGCAATCCAGCAGCCCCTCCTCCATGGCGGCAGCCCGCCAGGTCTCATCATCATCGTCGGCTGCCTGCTGGGCATGCTGGGCGCCGCCCTGGCCGGCGGCGATGTCCGCCTCCAGCAGACCCATGGCGAGGCGCAGCAGCACCTCCCGGTCCGCCTGGTAGGGGGGCAGCTGGGCCGCGTCCGCCGCTGCCGCTGCGTCCGCCAGCAGCCAGTCCACCGCAAGCTCTGCCACCCGCTCGGCATGCCGGCGGTCCAGGCGGGCGCCCCGCCTGCGGCGGCCCCGGCCGCAGAACACCCCCGACGGCGGATGGGAGAAGGTGCCGTCGCCGGTGGCGCCGCGTGCCAGGATGTGGGAAGGCACAGAGGGCGGCGGCCCTGCGGCAGGGCGGGGCGGGGAGGGAGGTTGAATGAGGCAAGGAGGAGATGGGGGGGGCAAGGTTGTTGTCGCAGAGCTGGGCGGTACAGGCGGTACCTGATGCCAGGTGGCGAGCTGCGGCGCCCAGGTAGATGCACAGCAGCAGCAACAGCTGCAGGTACACCTATCAATCAAGCCTATCAGCCAACTGGTGGCGGGCCGGAGCGGCCAAACAACACGAAACAATTCATGGGAGGCAGCAGAGCCCTCATGATGGCTGCCTCGTTGATGGCTGTCTCAGCGCCGCCCAGCCCTAATGGGACCATTAGGGCTGGGTCCTAGGCGACCTGGCAGCTTTCCTAAGGCTTATGTAGCTCCTATTACTGCGGATTAGGCTATTTGTTGACCCTAACTGGCGGTTGGGTTTCACCAGGAACCAATCGCAGCCTAAGAGCCGACTAAGAGCGACAGCTGGGCATGGCGTGCATGCTACGCCCTGTTTTGCTCTCAAACAGGGGCAAGTATGCTCCCCCGGCCGATTAAAGCAATCAATGTGCGAAAAAGAGGTCTGAGGGACCCAGGAACCAGCTGCTGAGCCAGGTTTTTTGGCAGCTGCAGCCCGCTGGCGGCGTACAATAGGGCACAAATAGGCCCTAGGCACCGCCATTAGCCTGACGAGCAGTTCGCAATAATGGTTATATAGCCCGCATTAGGATTACGATTAATTAGGCATTAGGAAATAGGGCCCAGCCCTACCTCCCATGGTGAAGAAGTGCGTGCTGTGCCACGTGGGGCCACGTTGGGCCACGTTGGGCCGCGGCTAAGAAAGGCCTTATTTGAAGGCGCTGGAGCTAGTGTATAAACCCTCCGAGAGGGCACAGGTTCGATTCCTCCCATGTCGAAACTTTGTGAGGACAAACGCGGCATAGCTGACCGGCTCAGCGCCAATCCAAGCCAATTCCTTCGGGAACGCCTAATAGAATCGCCAAGGCTTCGGCACAGGCCTCCCCGGGACCCATTCACAACTAGTGGGGGGTATTGCACTTGGCGCGTCGGGCAGATCAAATAATGGTCTAAAGCTAGACGTTAAAACCGGGAAGTTAAGCCTGTGGAGGCTCTTCCCCACCTTTACCTTTACCTTTACGTGGCAGCGATGCCTGCTACGCCACGAGCTCCTCCTCTCCGCCAAGGTTGCTCAAACTCCGCCCAGGACTCGTGCTGGCTGCCAGCCCCCGCCGCCCGCCCCGCCACACCCCTCCGCCGCCCCCGCCTGCAGGCCTCCTTGGCTCCCTGCCTCGGACGGCCCCCGGCCCCCTCATGGACGCCTCCTCGGCGCCAGAGGGGCCAGAGGAGCGGAACAGGAGGGTGATTGACGCGGTGCGGCGGGAGACTGGGCCGGAGCTGGTGCCGCTGCTGGTGTCGCGGGAGCCGCTTGTGTGCGGCCGCCCCCTGACCAGCCCCTGGCTGGGCGTGTCCCACGACGATAGGCGTAAGGTGCGGCAGCAGCCTTGGCAGACACACGTGTCCAGCAGACGTGCCAGCCACACCACCCACCATCTTGCCACCGAGCACGTGCGCCAGCTGCTGGTGCTGCCGGAGCCGGCATGCCCCGAGCTGCGCCACTTGCGGCAGCACGTGCAGGAGCGCAGCAGCAGGCGGGCCAGCAGCAGCAGGCGCCTCAGGCGCCCCCCCAGCAGGCGCAGCTGGCTGCCGCCCCCGCCCTGCTGGCCTTGCTGGCACAGGGCCGCCACACGCCGGCCGCGGCGGCCGCCGAGCAGGCGGGGCAGAGCGAGGAGGAGGCGGCGGCGGCGGCGGCTCGCGCCGCCGTTCCCACCACCAGGGAGGCGGCGGCGGCGGCACAGACGGAGAGGATGGCGTGCGAGCCGCGCAGCCAGGAGCAGGACCTGGCCTGCCGCCTGTGCAGCTATGTGGTGCGCATCCTGGCGGTCATCGGCATGCTGTCACGCGAGATGCTGCCGCAGGTGCCGCGGCTGCCGCCGTTCAGGCACATGCTGGGCGGCCGCTCCCTCGCCGACCACTGCGCCATCTTCGCTGGCGAGGCGCCAGGCCTGCGGCTGGCCAGCTGGCGGCTCGGCACGCTAGACCACGTCTGGCCCATCGCCCTGGTGGATGTGCTGGCGCTGGGGGAGGGCGGCATCTGGTGGGTGCTCTCCGCCCACAACATGCGGCTGGCGCTGAGGTGAGCTGCGTGCGTGGAGCGGGGGGGCAGGGCGCCGCCTTGCCTGCATCCAGCCCTGCTTGGCTGCCATGGCGTGTGCAGCCTCGTTGGCAGCCTCGCTGGCAGCCCGAGCTGGCTGCCTGCCTGCACCAGCAGCCAGCCAGCCCGCCAGCCGCCAGCATGCCCTACCAGCCCTCCTGTGCCCCTCCCTTGCCCTCACCCCCGCCCCCTGCTGCCCGGCCCCCTGCCGCCCGCAGGCAGAAGAACAGCGAGCGCGGGTGCGGCGGCTTTGCTCGCGTGCAGCGCCAGACCGAGGGCGAGCAGCCCCGCTGGCGCAGGGTGCCCGCCGGCGGGCTGGTGCAGGAGAAGCCGCCGGTGGGTGCCTCGGGGCAGCGGGACAGGCTCGGGCGCTGGCCAAGCTTGCTGCGCAGCCTGGCGCTGCCTGCCTGGCTGGCTGCGTGGCTCGCCGCTGCCGCCCGCCCATCGCCTGCCTGCTCCCACACCTCAACCTCTGCGTGCAGGCGGTGCAGGGGATCGAGGAGGAGGCGAGGCAGCATTTTGCCCGGCACCAGGAGCAGCATGGGGACCCCCAGCCCTGCGACTGCGGCGCCTGCTTCATGCGCGACCACTCCGGCGAGCCCTTTGAGACGGCGGAGCAGGCGGCCGACATGTACCTGCAGCTGCTGCTGCTGCTGTGCATCTACCTGGGCGCCG